TCAAGGTAATTGTGCAATTAACCAGTTAATTGCATGGTACCTGTAATGTGTAGATGGGGCCTTAATTGCTGCCTGTTCTGTGACAACTTCTGGAAATAACATCAACCACTGTCTGATAAAACAAATTGTATTAAAAGGTGTTTCTTGTTTCAGTGCCCTTGTTGCCAGTCCCAGCCCAGCCAAGACCTGCTGTAGGACCCCAGAGATTTCCTGTGAGTAGCAGCTGTTTCTTCTTCTGTGATATGGATAAGCATACATTTGCAAAGAAATATTAATATAGCAAATAAAAGCTATTCCAGTGAAATATAATGTTAAGGATTTGTAAATATTGACAATAATCTCTGCAGTTGAAAATGTTTGTTAAAAGCTTAAGGTCAATGGATTTTTGAGAGCAGAATTAATTCTGTTTAACTGTAAAATTGTTGAACTAGTCTGTCCAGTGGGAGACATACAAATGCTTCATATCTTAGAGAACATGAGTTTAATTTTGTTGCTTGCATCTTTTAATATAAACAGAAGAATTCTGTTGTTTTTTTTTTAAAACAACTTTTTATCAACCCCTAAGTTTTTTATTAAGGACTTCTTTTTATTAAAAAAAAAAAAATGCTCCAACTTTTTTTTTAAAATGACTTCAAGAATTTTTCATGGTTTTTATATCAAAAATGGTTCTTGCATTATATATTTTTGTATACATGTAACTTCCAAAACATGGACAAAAATGTCTCTTACGTCTCTCTCATTTAATCTTCTTGGTTAGTGAGAGGGCACGAACTTGCTTAGTTTTCAGTCTGGTGTTTTTCAATTGATTTGTGTTACCTCCTTAGATTCGGCCCTCCCAAAGTATCAAAGCAAGTGCATGAAAGCGTAGTGTGTGTAGTGTCATCTTTATTTGATGAAACTTGTAGATGCATATTCCCAAAAATGCTTCACTAGGACATAAAGCTCATGGAAAGCTAACCCTCTTCAAAGAACCAATTTTTGCATCCCGAATGCATAAGAAAACAGCAGATTTATTTTTAGAAATATACTAGTGTAATAGTATTAATTTATACTAAAATTTGGGGTAACCAGAAAAGCAAATTGCAATGAATTGTATGTTTTCATATACATTTTTCTGCGCATGAGATTTCTTCTCTCAGATTCTTACCCAGTCAGTTACTGTACCTGGGGCTTTTTGTACAGAATTACAGATCATAGTCTTAATTATTACAGAATATTTTATAAATTATAAAAAGTGTCAGCTTAAAACTCTAGGTTTACAAATCTTGATTATTACTTCACCCAGGTTTGTCATAGCTCTGAAATTTGTATGCTCAAGGTTGCCATACTTTGTGAAGTAACTTGAGGAAATGCTTTTCTCTGGCCAAGTCTGAACCTTTCTATATAAAGATTTTCTTAACATCTTAAGAAGCCTTAATTTTAATTGCCTATTATAGAAGGATATCAGATCTGATTTTTAACTGACATTTTGTTTTCTTGTGACCTTTAGTTGTTAGCTAGTTAGCAGAATTTGAAATAGAAAAAATTCGAAGCATGAGGAATATACACATACCTATTGTAACTGACAACTCTGAAATAGCTTTATGAATATTTACAGAAAATTTTAGACTATAATTTCTTCAAATACACGGAAATTATTTTTCCCATTGCTTGCTTTTTCACTAATTGAGAAATGCTAAGAATTTAGTTAAAATTAGTTTGTATGCATTGCAACCTTTAAATGGAATGAAAATAGATTCTCACTGCTTTTCATGTAGAAGTGTCTTTCTCTGCTGGATAAGAATATTTCTCTTGTCTGTTGAAAAGTTTTCATTGAGAAAGTGGAGCCTTTCCACCATCCTTTTTAAATAAGCAGATCCTGGTGCTTGCTGTTCATTAAGTGGCTGATTATTCAGAGCTAAGAGAGATCTTGTGACAGCATACATTGCAATTAACTGGCGGCACCGCAGCCTAATGGGTAGAGAATAGAGAGGATGCTGTTTAAAAGTTTCTGAAATGTTGGGACTTTTGGTTAAACATTTTTAGTATGCCACATCAGCTACTGATTCATTTCTTTAAAGATTTGGGGTTAAATTCATCCCTGCATAAGGTGCCTGGAACTGAGTTCAGCCAAGTTTGTAGCAGAGATGTTTGACATGGTAAGCTTTAAAATGTAAGGAATGTTGTACCCACATTGTGTAGATCAGAGTAGATTAGTTGGAAATGGAGGTGATTTGTTGCAGTGAGTATAGTTTTGATATTGCTGTGCTCTGACTTGTTGGAAATTAAAGATTAACATTGTATAACCTTCTTATTTATAGAAAAAAATACTTCTTCCATGTACTGGGAGGAAGGGGAGAAAACCACATAAAATAAACTACTCTGACAATCTTTTTCTGTGGTTACTATAATACTGTAAAATTTGGGGTAACTGAAAAGCCAAGATTTAAACGTCTGTCTCGTTTTTATGCTAATAATAACTTATTTAGAGGAAACAAGTCTGTCAATAACTTTATTAAATTTACAGGAAATTGAGTAGATACTTGTTATGAGGGTGCAGTCAGCTACAAACTGGCAGGTTTGTACAAACTGTAAAAATTGAATTCTGAGATGCTTTTGGCACTTCACAGTAATTGCTGAAACCTCCACAGGATGATGTTAAAGTTGATAAATTTAGGAAAAGTATAGGTTACAATGAATTTTAATTTGAAACATGTTGCAATTAACAGTTGAATTCTACCATTATTTTTCAGACTATTAAAAAATTGTTGCACCTTTCACTGTCTTCTCAAAAATCTGGTCTTCTGTATCTGTGTTTGATACAAAGCAATTCAAAGAGAAAAATAATGTTAGCTTTTGCCTCAAATTGGTACCATTAGCATTTAGCAAACAAAAATCTACTTAGATGACTGATCTGTTTTTGAGGAAACTGGTTTTAAGGCTGTCACAGAGCAGTGGATAAGGGTTTTATTCTGCGTGTCCTGACTATATTGTTCATTTGTGTTGCTTGTTAGTCAGATACCCCAAATCAAGGATCAGGACCTGTTGTGCTAGATGCTCTTCAGATGTTGTCATCAGCCCAGCTTGTGTGTCTGAAGAGCCAGATACTTACTGGATTCAGTGGAAGTGCACTTATTTATTCTGGTTAAGGATGGTGGTTCAGAGTCTTTTGATCCAAGGCATTGTGGTTCAAAAATAATGTTTACAGCTTTTGAAAAAAATGGTTAGGGATGGTTTTTTTTTCCTATCAAGTTGCCAACTTCTTCCTTGCCTGGCCAGTATAGTTAGGTTCTAACTGTGCAAAATTGCTTCATTGTAAACTTTGCTACAGACTAGACGGGTCTTTTGGATAGCATGTTAATACTCTCACAAACATGTTTAGGTTTTGGTTTTCAATGGTACTAGCATGTAAAGATAATGTAAGGACAGAACCTAGCAAAGACTTGTAATAATATGTGGAAGGAAATGTAAGCAGGTAAGCTCAGATGGATGGGGAGAAGCCTCACTGAGAGCTTCTTGTCCTTCCTACTTGAGGATAGACATCTCGACATACTGCTAGAATGTAACTAATCAAAAAAGTAAGAAATGTGTTTAGAAATAAAGTTCTGATTAATTTAACACTTGCACTGAAAAGCTCATCCTGGTGTGTCAGGTGACCAACCCATCTTGCTTCAAATCTCTTTAAAGTGTACTAATTCTTTAAACATTTCAAAGTTAATTCACAGGTGAGTTGTAGACTAAAGTGAAAACCCCCATGTTCTCAGATTGGACCCTCATTTAGGTAGCTGAGCTACTGTGTTTACATTGTACTGTCTTATGTTCCAATATCTTTGCAAGGACTTCCTTACATTATATGACACCAAGTATAGAAATAATATATACTGTGTATATTAAAAAAAATTTCAGTAGTACATTTTAAAGGGCTTGATAAATTGGTTAAGTTAGTCTTCCTTTTGTTCCAAATGATATATGAGAACAATCTTTTTTTTCTTATTTGGCCATGAGAGAGAGACCCAGCAGCAAAATCAGAGGTCACTTTCAACACTAAATTGAGAACTGGAAGTCTGGTAGAGTCTGCCTTGACTTGCTAGTGGCAGAATACAATGGATGGTATCATACATGATGTTCTCATTTGTCCTGGGACTAGGTTTGAGCAAGATGTAAAGAGACACAGGTCTGCAGATCTTCCTACCAGCACAATGGAAGACAAACCTCTAAGAAAATGGGTACCTGAAGACAGGCTTTCAAAGCCATAGGTGGACACCAAAATAAGGTGTTTTGTTTGTTAAGAGCTGAGTGAGTGGAAGAACATGGCTGGTATTTCCAGAAGTTGTCTGAGTTAGGTTCCTGACTTCTGAAATTTCTACCAATTGACTCTCAAGTTGCCAAGGCAGTGAAAACTGCTGCATACTGAAATCTTTTATAAAATTAGGCCAGTTAATTTTAGTGCCTAATGTGGATTTAAGTTTCAAATTAGCTGCCTAAAAGTTAGTTTTCCTAGGGTTGAAATGACTGCCTTGCCCAGGGTCACACAACAGATGAGTCACAGTGACACTGTATAAGACTAAATTTATGTTTTGAATTAAAGTAAATGTGTGTGACATTATAAGCTAAAGCATATTCATGCCCCCAGCAAGAATATGAGCTTTTGGCTTAAGTAACTACCTTAGGAGCAAATTCTTTCCCTTTTGCACAGATTGGTTAGTGAGGATTTATTCTAGATTGATCCATAGGATATATACATTTCCATCTTTTCCATTTAAGCTGTTGAAAGCAACTTCAATATTCTAGCTGTAAGAATTGGGAAATGGACAGTGGTTATTTTATGAAGATATGCTTACCCTTTGCTCCTTTCTGGTTCTGCCACTGAAGCACAAAGTGTTCTAGGACCTCCTTATAGCTAAACCCTGGACTCCTATTCTCCCTCAACACACACACCTGAACTATTTCTACTATAGGGCCTTTTACACTTCTGAAATAAGGACAGTGCCCCCTTCGGATTTCTGATCCAGCTCGGGTATAGTTTTTGAGTATGGCATTAGCAGGTCTATAGTCCACAGTAATTTTGGCTCGTTCTGCTCAGTGTCTGATATTTGCAATTTTAATTATAGCTGGATGGATCACTTTTATGTTGAGATCTTAATCTCAATGTTAATGTGTGGTTAACCACTACTAGTGAGACTCTTGCTCATGCAAGCATCCATATGTAATAAAATATTGTAAACTTTTGTCT